AGAGAAACACAAAACAGATGTATATAAAATGTTATATTGTTCAGAGACATGAATGCATGCAAATGTTGAAACGACATACACAGATATATTTAGAGCGCTACTACTGTAAAGAGAGACTTACGTTTAAGGTGTCCCTGTGTCTCAGAAGGAAATCCTCTGTGATCCCCGTGTGGAGCGTGACTTGGCCAGGGTACAAAGTAGGGTGACGATGGGATGGATAAATGCGTGCCTAGATGGTATAGGGCTGGCAGGAACGATCAGATGTTAGAGCTGTGCGGACTGGGATGGCCCAACCTGGCCGCAACAGCAGTGCGTGGTGATGAGTGTCAGTAAGTCAGACTGTACGACATGCTGAACTTGAATAGAAAAAATTGAGGATACAAGTCCTGTGTGACAGCGCTCTCCTGAGGGGTGGGGTTTTTTTTAGAAAAGGGGGTCTGACTTTCTCAGAATTTTTGGTTGAGTGGGGGCTGTGTGGGGGAGGATGGTGTGGAGGTGGGGGTGGCGTGCGGCTTCAGATCAAAAATGGATCACCCTGTTTACCATAGAGCTTGCACACTGTTTTTTAACTCTTTATTATCAATTTTTATTGTAATCACTTGTGCCCACGTCCCCAATAGTTGGTACTCCAGGTAGTGCGCTTTTCCATTTGTTTTACATGCAAATGTTGAAAGACATGTCTACATTGAAATACAAATAATTAAGAGCATAATAAGGGCTCAGAGACATTGGTACAATTCTACATCTAGGCCTACCCTGGTCACTGAAGCTGCTTCAGTGTACATCCATCCAGAGGCACACCTATAATGAGGAAGCCTGAGCCTCAGGCAGCATCTCTTTGGAGGGTGGCAGGAAGAGCAGCATGGCAGCAATGTATGCAGTGTGCCTTTCCGTCCAGAACAATGCAGGTTGCTAAGAGCTGGGTGGGGAGATGTGTGAGGGCGATACACATCACCCCATCCAGCTCTTAGCAACCTGGAATGCTCTGGTAGCATCCCACCCAGCTCCTGGTAACCTGTGACGTCAGTGAGCTGGGTGGTACGAAAGAATATGGACACCGGCACTCCAATAGCAGATAGAATATGTTCCACTTATTCTGCCTGATGAAGGGGATCCTACGTGACCCCGAAACGTCGCATTAAGTATGTTTTGCACGTACGTCAATAAATCAATGTATTCTATCTGCTATTGGAGTGCTGGTGTCCATATGCTTTCGTATCACTGATACGGTGGCCATCCGTCAACTACCATGCATCCATCTTATTTGAATGGATGAGCGGTCCGGAGTGCAATGGGTACATGGACTGTAAGTGAGCTGGGTGGGACGGCGGCCAGAGCTAGGTGTTGAAATGAATCAGAGGCCACCTTCCCCAATCAGTATGCACCACCAGCACCTCCCACATAACATGCACCACCAGCACCCTCCAACCCTCCTCGCTCCCTGGTTACATGCACCACCAGCACGCACACCCTTTCCCCCCTGGCCTTAGGTGGCGAAAAGGGTAGGGACACCATTGCATCCATCTCTTGCCTCCGAACCTTCTGTTCAGGTCTCTCCTGGGTTCATACCTCCAACCAAAATATCTGCCCTTATTATAATAAAAAAAAGTCTGAATTGTCCTCTCACTTATGCAAAAAACTTTTCTCAAAACTGGGTTTATAGATTTTACCGCAATTAACATATATTCCTTCTATAGTCCTCCAGCAGGCAGCTCTGATATGACTATGCTGGAGGAGCAGTTGATGATGTGCTCTTTGGTTTGACCCAGCCAGCATGCAAAAAACTAAGGTTAAAGCAGAGATTTGGATACACGTCTTCTGCAGAAAATGTGAAAGCCGCACAGCCGCGCCAAGGCACCTCTATATAGTGCGGTCCTAACTCTAAACTATGAGAGTCTCCATCTTGGAGCACATGTGGCAAAATATAAAATTGGGTGCAGGTTTGTCAGGAGGAAGCCCAACCTTTTGCGGGACGCACAAAGGACCCCGCACATCACAACGGCAGCTGAGACCCCCATGCGTCACTGCACCAAATCAGTCAAGCAAAACCAATGTCAAATGCACTCATCAATTTGTTACCAGCTGGCTGGTGAGTGTGCTGGGAAACTTTTTGCTGTTACTGTTTAAAGCCCTTCCAAGCTGGTAACAAATTGATGAGTGTGTTTGCCATTTGTTTTGCTTATCCATATATAAGGTGCATGGAGCGACATAACTCCTTCACACCAAATGCAGATCAGATCTGCATGAGTCTCTACGCAGTGCAGTGTGTTTTGCTGCATTTTTGACGTGTTCAGGGCCGTTCCAGAACATGTAAAATAGGGCATGCTGCAGTTTTTTTTACATGCTCGGGAACTGAATGCTGCGGTGTGAACTAGAGACCAAAATACCATTGGAATCCATTGGACGCAGTTTTGGTCCGGTCTGTAACTGCTCTGCTCTGCTCCTGGAACACGCTTGGTGTGAACTAGCACTCAGGGTTGAGTAAAATCCCGGGAAAGGTAAAAAAAAATCGAGAAACAGTCTAGAAAAATCTACCAGAGGGGGAAGAAAAAAAAAAGAAGGAAGGAAGAGAAGGAAAGAGAGAAGGAGGGGGGAGAGGGAATGGATAGGAAGGACCATTGAAGGAAGAGACAGTCAACCTTGGGCCGCACTGACCTATCCGATGACCACTGAAAAAGCCTCATATATAAGCAATCACAGTAAAAGAGAATTCTCTTGAAACCCAATGGGAAAAAAAGTATTTCAGCCAGGGGGTCCAAATGGCATTAAACTTCTGCATTTTATCCTCTTGGTGTGCCGTGAGTTTGTCAAAAAAAAATAGCATAGGACATGTGGTCAAAAAGGTGTCATGGGGGCCCCCCAAGGCTGCACAATCACCCTTTTAGTGAGGCAGAATTGTAGATATTGTATAACAATAGAGATTATTTATTAATAATAATAATAATGAGGAAGAATAAAAATAGGAATAATAATAATTAGTATTATGTATTAATAATAATAATAATGAGGAAGAATAAAAATAGGAATAATAATAATTAGTATTATGTATTAATAATAATAATAATGAGGAAGAATAAAAATAGGAATAATAATAATTAGTATTATGTATTAATAATAATAATAATGAGGAAGAATAAAAATAGGAATAATAATAATTAGTATTATGTATTAATAATAATAATAATGAGGAAGAATAAAAATAGGAATAATAATAATTAGTATTATGTATTAATAATAATAATAATGAGGAAGAATAAAAATAGGAATAATAATAATTAGTATTATGTATTAATAATAATAATAATGAGGAAGAATAAAAATAGGAATAATAATAATTAGTATTATGTATTAATAATAATAATAATGAGGAAGAATAAAAATAGGAATAATAATAATTAGTATTATGTATTAATAATAATAATAATGAGGAAGAATAAAAATAGGAATAATAATAATTAGTATTATGTATTAATAATAATAATAATGAGGAAGAATAAAAATAGGAATAATAATAATTAGTATTATGTATTAATAATAATAATAATGAGGAAGAATAAAAATAGGAATAATAATAATTAGTATTATGTATTAATAATAATAATAATGAGGAAGAATAAAAATAGGAATAATAATAATTAGTATTATGTATTAATAATAATAATAATGAGGAAGAATAAAAATAGGAATAATAATAATTAGTATTATGTATTAATAATAATAATAATGAGGAAGAATAAAAATAGGAATAATAATAATTAGTATTATGTATTAATAATAATAATAATGAGGAAGAATAAAAATAGGAATAATAATAATTAGTATTATGTATTAATAATAATAATAATGAGGAAGAATAAAAATAGGAATAATAATAATTAGTATTATGTATTAATAATAATAATAATGAGGAAGAATAAAAATAGGAATAATAATAATTAGTATTATGTATTAATAATAATAATAATGAGGAAGAATAAAAATAGGAATAATAATAATTAGTATTATGTATTAATAATAATAATAATGAGGAAGAATAAAAATAGGAATAATAATAATTAGTATTATGTATTAATAATAATAATAATGAGGAAGAATAAAAATAGGAATAATAATAATTAGTATTATGTATTAATAATAATAATAATGAGGAAGAATAAAAATAGGAATAATAATAATTAGTATTATGTATTAATAATAATAATAATGAGGAAGAATAAAAATAGGAATAATAATAATTAGTATTATGTATTAATAATAATAATAATGAGGAAGAATAAAAATAGGAATAATAATAATTAGTATTATGTATTAATAATAATAATAATGAGGAAGAATAAAAATAGGAATAATAATAATTAGTATTATGTATTAATAATAATAATAATGAGGAAGAATAAAAATAGGAATAATAATAATTAGTATTATGTATTAATAATAATAATAATGAGGAAGAATAAAAATAGGAATAATAATAATTAGTATTATGTATTAATAATAATAATAATGAGGAAGAATAAAAATAGGAATAATAATAATTAGTATTATGTATTAATAATAATAATAATGAGGAAGAATAAAAATAGGAATAATAATAATTAGTATTATGTATTAATAATAATAATAATGAGGAAGAATAAAAATAGGAATAATAATAATTAGTATTATGTATTAATAATAATAATAATGAGGAAGAATAAAAATAGGAATAATAATAATTAGTATTATGTATTAATAATAATAATAATGAGGAAGAATAAAAATAGGAATAATAATAATTAGTATTATGTATTAATAATAATAATAATTGTCATTATTATTATTATTATTTTATTATATTATATTAGAGTTTTTTTTTTCCATATGATTACATTACAAACATATGTACAATATTCCTCTAACATGAAATCTTCCCAGTCATCCGTGACCTGAATGATTTTTGTGCAGTATACTGAAGATAACCCCACGCTCATCCGCTAACTCATCTAATTTTGTTTTGACAGCCGATGACTGCCAACTCCTGTGCAAGTTACCCAAAGTGAAGTGCTTACGCAACGACCGGAGGGAAGGTACGTGCTAATCACCAAATAGATCGCCCGGCTTTAATGCTGAGGGACGACAGATCAGATGAATGTGGGAAAGGTGTTCTGGAACCGTTGATAAGCCCAGAAACATTTTTATGCTGGCAGGAAGCGTCTGGAACAAGCTGAATGTTTATATGAATAGCTACCAAATGACATTAGAAATCAAGGTTAACTGCAGTTTCGTTAAAGCAGAACTTTAGTAAAAAAAAAATAATAGCCCATTACAAGATTTACAACCTTCTGTCCCTTGCAGTACTTTTCTACCACTAGGTGTCTTTAGACATTTGGCCAACTCACTTCCTCTGAGTCTTTGCTGTCATGGACCCACCCCCAGCCTGTGACAGGACAGTGAAGGGGAAGCAGCAGAGTGATGAGCTCATCTCTCTGTTCTCTCCTGCTATCGGCATGCTCCATGAACAGTTTGGCTCCTTGTGCTGCTTTTTCCTTTCTTACTTTGAGCTCTGCTGTACAGGGACTGCGAGAGGCTGTTACCAGGTCACATCTAGGTACTTACAGTGATTAATATTAAAAAAATACATTTTATGATGTGTCAGTGAAAACAGAGCTGCGGTAATTTGTGCCTTTTATATCTATAGCTCTAAAGTTGAAGGCCATAAAATAGATTGAATGAGCCTATCTTTAAAATCCACCTTCTACATCGGGGTGGGCTAACACTGGCCCCCCAGCTGTGGTGAAACTACAAATCCCATGATGCAAAGGTCTCTGGGAGCCATGCCAATGTCTTCTTTTTTTCTCTGTTTCGCTTTCTTTCTTTCCTTCTTTCTTCTTTTCTTTTTCTTTTCTTTTTCTATAGGTTGAACTTTATGGACTTGTGTCTTTTTTTTTCAACCTGACTAACTATGTAACTATGTGTATCCTTCCTTGAATCTTGGTGAGCTTTGTGTATTTCTTCCACATCTGTGCAGTAATTCAGTGTGACATTTGGAGCTGCCTGTAATAAAGACCGGCCACTGCTGTTCTCTCTCCTTGTGCAGGGTGACTGGTCTTGTCTCAGCCCCCTCATCCTTTAAACACGCCCTCTCACGCCTCTTACTTTGGTGACAGGGTCTCTTCAAAACAAAACAAAATCGTAGACTTTCCTTTTAATTGTAACAACCCCGTACTGTATACAACTCTTCTTTTTTTACTTTAATTATCACATTGATCTGGAATTGAATTTTCGCAGAGCTCTTCCTCTCGGGAACACGAAAACTCCACGTTCCCGTCCCCCTGAAATGAATGAAGACCACTTATGTCTTTTATCTTCCTGTTTGGCGCTTACTGGTGGAAATGAAGTATGGTGGATTTAGCAGTGTATAAAATGTAATTTGCACTGTATATCTCTCCTTCCAGTATATGGCGAGGCTAAAAAATACAGCGTCTTATTCCTCCTAGAGGTTCTGGATCATCCATCAATTTCCGGGCCCCTGATATAAAATCAATTCCCTTCTGTTTCGGAATAAACAGCGCTAACAAGCCGGATTGGCGGTAATAGAGCAGCGCCGGGTTTCCTGTTAGTGTGTGACATTACGTCGGCCCGCTTTACCCCGTAATGCGAAATGAGTGAACGTCTGCGGCGTATTTCACGTGTATCTGTCATGGCGAGGAAGAAACGCGGGCTGATGATTTATGTAGAGACAAGATCAAAGCTGTCGCCGGATGATCTAGCCCAGAGTAAAACAATTTCGACGGCTAGAATTCAATTCTTCCAACAGGCTGGAAAGTAATAATTATGCATGTAAACATAAGTGACATTTGTTTGTACATTTTCGGTCTAGTCTCAAGCAGCGCCGCCCTTGCTGCCGAGTAGGGGTAAACATTACGCTGCTTGCCTTGTGTAGAAATGAAGATTTTGATTTAGCAACAATGCATTTAGGCATATATTAAAAAATCATGATCTCTCTCTCTCGATCCCTCTCTTGATCTCCCTCGATCTCCCCCTCTCTCTCTCAATCTCTCTCTCTCGATCTCTCAATATCTCTCTCAATCACTTGATCTCTATCCCTTTATCTGTCTCTCTCGACCCCTCTCTCTCTCTCTCTCTCGTTCGATCCCTCTCTCTCTCGATCCCATCTCTTAATCTCTTGATCTCGATCTCTCTCTCAATCCCCCTCTCGATCCCTCTCTCTCTCTCTCAATCCCTCTCTCTCTCGATCCCTCTCTCTCTCTCTCAATCCCTCTCTCTCTCGATCTCTCTCTCTCTCTCGAATTCTTTCTGTCTCTCGATCTCCTTCTGAATCTCTTGATCTCTCTCTGTCTCGATCCATTGATCCATCTCTGTGCTGCTGACCCCCCCTTTAGACTCTTTACAGTCACTTCCTGTCTACATGCACTCCAGCGATGGCTGCTTACCTTTATCAGTGCGGGTCTTCCTGGTGTTGACAACAGTGGACCACACCTATGTCATTTGTGTTGAAATGGCCACTGGTAGTCTTTGTAGTTGATCCCGAATTTCAGATGCCATAGAAGCCCAATTGAACTTTCAGCTGTAATCAGCTAAATACATTCCAGGTGCAGCACAACACAAGGAGGGGGGATTTATCAAAACTGGAGCAAACCAAAACTGGGGCAGTTGCCCATGGCAGCCAATCATGTTTTATCTTTCATTTTCAGGGCTTAACTAAACAAATTGAAAAGAGAAGCTGATTGGTTATTATGGGCTCCTTCTTCAGAGTCAATAAATTCCCCCCAAAGGTGTGCACAGTCTTACAGTTTGCATGCTTTAGAAAACAGCCACAACCGTAACGGAAAAGCAAGCATGGTGCAGAGAAGGACCCTTGCTCTCTGTGTGGAAGCAGCGGTCGCTCTGCAGAGGTCCTAAAAGTCCCCTGCTGAGTCAGAGCTAGAGATTTATAACTAGCAGAGGTCATGAGCTTTGATGATAGCAGAGTTATATAAGTCTGACCCAGCAGGGGATTGTCGGACACCTAGAAAAATCAGAGTACTGTATACGCTAGACCAGCCTTTATCCATCAGATCCTGACGTGATCCCGTCTTTTATATTGTACCAAAAAATTGGGTAATAATAATTGTTTCCTAACATAATGTAAATAAAACTTTTTTTCCAAAATTTTCAGTGATTTTTCCTTAATATAGTAAAAAATAAAAACCCCCAGTGGTGATTAAATACCACCAAAAGAAAGTTCTATCTGTCTCCAAAAAATGATATAAAATTAATTTCAGTACAATGTTGCATGACGGAATAAATGTCAGTCAAAGTACCGCAGCGCTGAATACTGAAAAATGTCCGGGACAGGAAGGGGGTGTAAACACTTCAAGTCTTCAAGTGGTTAATGAGCATAAAAACTGCAAGCAACCACTGACGCATTTCTGCCTCAAATGGCCTTAGTCATACCACATAGTTTGGTCAACACTTTTATAGAATGTAACTTTTTGTATAATTGGGTCTCATAAAGTTCTGTTTCAATAATCAGGTCTACTTATACTGGTGAATAATTATCAAGTTTTTTGCTTTATCAATTTCTGTGGAGCGCTAAATTACCTTGCTGCTCTATTTTCTAATCCGATGTATCTGCCAGTCTCTGCTGATGCCGTCCTGGTTCTGTAAGCAGGGCAAGTTTGAAAGCAACTTCCTTTGACGGTTTGAGATTTTTGCCTGCGATGTTCAGTAAAGCAGATCAGAATCTGTTTAAAATTCATAGTCTGATTCTTCTCGGTGGAACAAGCTAAATTAGTTATCAAAATGATGGAGGCCTTCTCCTGCGCTTCGATGTTCTCTGGCAAGTGTCACTTTTATAGCTTGTGTTTTATTGAATGAACCGGCGCAGGTTTCAGATAGCAGACTTTATTTATATTTTGGAACTTCTGGTGTGTGTATTTCATGTGTTGAAAAAGAAGATTCAGAGTCGAACGCTAGCCCAAACTTTACAAAAAAAACTTTTAGAAAGAACTGGAAAAGGTTTAGCTCAGCAGTTTTTTTTGTTTTTTTTCCAAACCTATATCAGAAATGGCACCTTTTAAGAGTATTTAAAATTTTGGGGCACCCCAATCTAAAAATGTAAAAAGTGAAATTGTAAAAATGTTTTAAAAAAATGTGGTCCCCACGCACAATATCAATGCCAAATCCTGTTTCCTAGACAGAGGTCTGGTATAGCGCTGACTGGCGGAACGGACAGGGGAGGGGGCGGGTACAGCTGGAGCTGCCTCTAGATAGGCAGAGCCAGCTGTCACTCACGCAGCTGGGTGGAACTCGACAGCATTGTCAGGATCCGTCCTGGCTGTGGCACTCTAGGTATATCACGGGCAATAGCCTGCTATATGCTGAGCTTTGGGTCACGGGCGGACTCTAGTATATGTCCTCCTGTGACCCTTAAGAGAACTTTGGGATAAAAAGGTTACCCCATAGTTCTCTTTTAATACTCACATAAAATAACCGGCGTCAATACATTGCAACAATAAAATTCTTACAATGTATTTATCAACAAAGCTTGCAATCACGGTATACAGGTTTCATTTACATAGAAACTGCTGATGGGGAAGTGCTACTGATATACTCCAATGAGAGAATCTTCGGCCATGGGAAAAACAATGGAAAGCTGAGAGATGATCTAAACCAGGAGAAGGGAAGCTCAGCAGTCCAGCTGTGGTGAAAGTAGAAAGCCCATCATGCATTTGCCTCTGGCAGTGATGCCTGTGGTTGTTAGTATTGCAGTGCCTCATGGGATTTGTTGTTCCACAACAGCTGGAGTGCCAAGGTTGCCTTCTTCTGATCTAAACTGTCCCCACTATGACCAAAACTGAAAAAGAGATGGCTGTAGTTGAACTTTATTGTCAAACTTTTTTTCTACATTAGAAGTATATGGAACTTTTTATGGTAATATCGAAGCACTTTATAAATTCTCATATTGGGTTATTTTTAGGAAGAATATATAAAGGCACAATTTCTTTTTAGTTTTGGATAGCATAGGGACGGCTTAACCCCCTGTAAAGTTTGTTTAGCTGTGTGTACCCCTGTTCAGAAGATTTCACCTCACTTTCTGTCCCTGTGACAATTGGATTTACCTAATGAGTAAACAGACAGCAGTAAAAACCCCACAGTGACCCGGAAGAAGAGGTGGGCACCCCTCGTCTGCACATCTAACAAGAGCCCACTTCCAGTAATGTATATACAGTACTATGAACCAGACCCAAAAAGGCGGGCACTCCTCGTTGGCACGAGCGTGGTAGCATTACAACCACTGAAATGCTGCGCGGTACACCTTGGCCGCAGCCTGTGAACCCCTGTTGTACAGTAATAGCTTCCTTAGGGGTCGTATGTAAGTTGGATGTTTGTAACTCAGGGACTGCATTGTATTACTAAAATGATAAAAAGAATATAAGAAAAACAAAATGTACGTGCTTGTTAAAAGAAGAGCATGAGATCAATGAAACAGAACCCCCCTTCAAAGAGGAATCAATAGAAATATATTTTTCATGCCGCCTAATTATGCAGAAAAAAAGATTACATTAAAAACAAACAAACAACAAAGTACTTTTTTTCCCTAAATACGGTTTAACATTCTGCATTGCAAAGTGGCCACCAGGCATTCCGTCAACGAAAGAACATTATTTACATATCATCAATAAACGGATTATATTATGCCCAGATATAAAAATTCATATATGAACAATTGCATTTGAGGTTTTACAAGCATTTCCAGCCTGCGGCAGTGCCTGATTTTCCCCACAAAGCGCAGCTTATACATTAAATCTCCATTATGAATGGTTGAGATGGAAGTTTGGAATCCCTCCTCTCCCCCAAGTCCTGCTGAGACGGCAAAGTACAGGAAGAAAGCGTATTACCTCCGAACCCTGCAAATCCTGAATTTTAAAAGTCGTTTTTATGTTCTAGCAGACAATGTTTCATAGCTCCCGAGTTGTTTGTATAAAATACGCCACGATAAATATAGCTGGGGAACAGTCGCTGTAAATACACGGCTTACTGCTCGGGTCTCTGTTTTATAATGTTATAGCGAACGCGGAGAGATGAATCAAGGGCTTAATTATATGTGACTGCTATGGGGTCTAGAAGGGCAGGGCAAGCGGAACACCGATAAAACATGGCTTCCACTGAGTCTGCCTCGCTGATGTAGCAAGGCGGCACAAGAGTTTAGGACATAAAAGGTAATTTTGAAGAAAAAGTAGAAGGCTTTAGTGTTTTTGTTTTTTTTTAACTATAATGGTTTTATTATTATTTTTTTTAGTTTACAAGACTTTAGTCTGATATTTTACTGTATATTACCGTATTTTCTGGCGTATAAGGCGACTGGGTGTATAAGACGACCCCCTAATTTTCCACTTAAAACATAGGTTTTGGGCTATACTCGTCATATAAGACTACCCCACTTCCGAGGCAACACCATTTAAAAACATCACGTTTGGATGTGCGGTAATACTGTATGTATGATAGCTTCGGCTACATACAGTATACCGCGCTGAGCCAATCACGGCGAGCAAAGTATTCTATTAATGAATACAAAGCCTGCTTGGATTGGCAGATGTTGTGTACATCGTTCGCCGTGATTGGCTCAGGGCAGTATACTTTATGTAGCCGAAGCTACCGTACATACAGTATTACCACACATCCAGCGGGCTGATTAGGGATGTTCGTTTTGGGCCAGCTTGGCAAATACAGTAGTTATTTTATGGGCCATATGGTAAGCACAGGGATATTAACAGTAAAAGTCATGCACAACCTTACCACCATTCATTGTCCTCCACCCCTCTCTGCTAATCCCTCCACTGGCTCGTGCTCACCCAGCAAATACAATTCAAAATCCTGAAAACAACAACATACAAAGTAGAGGTGCACCCAAATGAAAATTTTTAAACCGAAACGAAACTGAAGTAAAAAAAAATTTCAGGCCGAAAACGATACCGAAAATGTTTTTTACTTAAATTTTTTCCATTTTATTAATATCAATGAACAGGAATCCTCTATGAGTGTTCCTGTTCATTGATAACATGAGGCCATGGTATGTTTACTATAACTACAACTATGAATGGACAGGAGGTGATGTAGATCACTTCCCATTCATTCATAATTGAGGATATAGTAAACATATCATGTCCTCAATTATATACAAACACTCAGCGATCACTGATCGCTGAGTGTTTGTAACTTGCTCTCCTCTCTGACACGCTATGACAGGAGGCTGATCGAGCGGTGTTGGGAGGAGAGCTCAGCCTGTCTCCGCCCACAAACCGCTCTGCCGGACTGTGATAGGAGGCTGAGCGGTGTGGGAGGAGACGCCGGTCGCTCACAGCACTCTCCTCCTGCAGCACTTGGCAGCCTGTAACAGTTTCTCTCCTCCCTGCTGGGACACAGAGCAGCGCCCAGCGGGGAGGAAAGAAAGCAGGGATGTATCGGCAGGAAAATGGCACTTTCGGCAGTATGACAAAAGTGCCATTTTCGGCCAATATGTTTCGGCGGCCGATATATCGGTGCATCCCTAATACAAAGCCATCTACAACTCTACCCTGAGCTACATTACCAACCTTGTCTCACAATACCACCCAATCCATCCTCTTTGATTCTTCCAAAACCTCCTGCTCTCTTGCTCCCTCATAACCTCCTCCCATGCTCGACTCCATGCAAGCAGCACAAGGAGCCTATCAGTTTAAGTGCTGACAAGAGGTATGCTGATTGAAGGAGTGAGCAGAATGACAAAGAAATGAGCTTATCACTGTGCTGCTTCTTCACAGACGTAGAATGCGACTAATGCTCCGTCCATTGGTTGCACTCTGATGTTATCACATACAGTGCACAACCAGCAGTCTTGCATTGTAAGTGAGGATGCTGATGGCCTGTCCACAAACCTGAGTATCAATGGAAAGAGGAGAGCACTGTTTGATGTGGGAGTGATGGATAAGGTAAGTAAAACTGCTCCTTAATGGTAACATGCTCACAAATGGATGCATGAACCCTTGCAATGTGGGGGGGGGAGCCAGGGTAGTTTTGATCTTTTCCTGAAGTTCAGCTTTAAATGGGACTGGGGTTACCCATTGCTTATCAGAGTTTTCTATTGTACAGGTTTGATCCGGTCCCGAGTCCGAGGGGCAGACATTGCAAAGGCCGGAGTTCTTACCTTTCTGGACAGCCACTGTGAAGTCAACAAGGACTGGCTCCCTCCTCTCCTACAACGAATTAAAGAGGTGAGAGACTGAACAGTGACAGTTATATGGGGGATCATAATGTTGATATCCTAAAAGAACTCATTATAGGCATCATGTAAAAGAATACTTACCTTGTCTGGTGGGTAGGCGAGGAAAAACTTTGCTCTTCCAGTGCCGCTGCTATCCGACACTTCCGGACATTGCATGTGAAAGTCTGAGATTCCCCTCACTGTAGATAATTTGCTGGCTGAGACACAAAGTATTTCCAGAATGCTGAATTCTTATAAATGTATTTTTGGTTTAGAACCCAACTCGTGTGGTGAGTCCCGTTATTGACATTATAAACCTGGACACCTTTGCCTACATTGCAGCATCTTCTGACCTGAGAGGAGGTAAGATCTACTAACTTCTGTACATAAAATATTCATATGCAGTCATTGCTAGCTTGGCAAGATTACAAGATAACATAATATTTCGATAGATCTGACCTGCCCCTGCACTGTGCAAACGCCACCTACAGGTACAGGCCTCCCACCCACTAGGAACTATGCCCTACTTCTTTTTGAAATCTGGACAGGAAAAAAAAGGGGTCAGGAGTGCAGTCTGGTGCCAGGTGTGTGGATGGAGAGTGATGAGTAAATGAGGATGTGTATATGTGGGGTGGAGAAAAGGGATGTTGAGCACTTACATGTGATGGGTGGTGTGGTGATGTGAAACTTCTGTTGGTGTGGTCGTGGAGTTGCGTTTTGGGGCTGGAAGGAAGTCATAAGGTGTTGTCTTGGTCCTTGCACGGAATCCCAATCAAAAACCAATGTAGAAGGAAAGCAATGACAAAGTTCAGAGTTTCTGCAGTTGTATGTACACCACCCATCACATGTAAGTGCTCAACATCCCCTTTCACCACACCACATATACACGTCCTCATTTACTCATCACTCCCCATCCACACACCTGGCACCAGACTGTTGTGCTCCCACCCTCTTCTTTCTCCTGTTCAGTCTTACAATCGGATACCCAATCAGTATGGGAGCACCACACTGGCCACCATTGACTACACCACCCTGGGAGTGCACTAACCAATCAGTCTCATCTGAACTTTCTACTTTTTGAAATCTGGGACTGCCTACAACAGACAGGGAAACCTGTTGCTTTACTTCTTCCTAGCATGCACTAGCATGTGTTTATATGTACTCACATTGATTTGCTACAAGCATTACTTGGCTTATTCCTTGGCTAATCATTTCAGCTCCTGTTAGTGCTGGATCCCAGCTGTCACTGACAAACCAGGAACCCCAGCCGGATCCTACAGAAGTCCAGGTCCCATTTTAACACAGCTCTGGAACAAATAGTCGCTGTCCTAGTGCCATATTGAAAGTGCACCTAGGACTCAAGTGGTTAAGAAAGTATTGAAGCCTTTAGATCAGCATGACTTAGTACTACTAGCACTTTCAGAAGCAGATGTCAACAATCTACATAATAAGAACAATTAGTAAGGAACAAGCTTGGTGTTCCTGTTTTCTAAGAATTATGGGTTGGTTAGGTAGATTCTAGATTAGGGTAATTCAGCAGCAATCATAATCTCTGTTCATTTAAATCATTATGCAATTTTAGGTAAATTTGTGAGGACAATAATATAAGAGTTGTTTTTTCTAATTTAAAGGTGCAGGCTCTTGAGCTGTAATCCTGACAGTGGCTTCTCCACTGAGTGAGCCATTGAGATGCAAAAATTGTGAACATTCCATATGCTTGTTCCAGTTCAGTGATTCGCTAAGTAGTGGAGCCAGGGTCAAAACATCAGTCCTCGAGCCCACATCCTTTTAAATAAAGTCAGCTCGGATTTTTTATTACTACCCTCTGAAACTACATTTTATGTCATAGGCGAGGTTCTCCTTCAAACAAGCAAGTTTTACTGACTTGAGAAAGATTTTGTTTCTAATCAAATGCTTCAATGAGCTCTGGTAGCTGAGGGTAAAACAGTCACGCCTGCTCTCAACAAACGGTGTATGAAATGAACTGAGAGCAAAGAGATTACTGATGAGGTGGACACAATTTTTAGCTCACTTGGGTGCAGATAGAGAGGGAGCGAGGTAATGATGGAAGAGGAGAAGAGAGGAAAGGAAAGAGAGAGAAATGGGGGCGAGGCTGGGGAAAGCAAATTGAGAGAGGGGAAGGAAGAGAGGGTGGAGAGGGATGAGAGGGAGTGTCAAAAGTGCATAAGGGAAAAATAAAGTGGCAGGAGGAGAACAGGGATACAGAAAGTGGGCATGGGTGGATGAGACCCAAAAAGTGAGAAATAGAAGGACTATAGGAAGGGGTAAATGAGGGGAAGTCTCCCATGACCAATGGTGACTGACTTAAGGAGAGGGCCTCCCTTGCAGCTGCATCCCAAACATCCATGCAGTTGGTGTTGGGGAGTGTAAGGGCACTGAGTAACCGGTACAAAGTGAATGACCTGAGATAACAAGGATGTCCAGGTTCAGTGACCCAAAACTTGTAGATGGCTCTGTGAATAGGAAGTGGCGCTAGGACACTGAGGAGGAGTCTTGGTGTGGACCACGATCAAAAGCTGGCAAGCAAGCTGATGATAGCCAGAAAGTTAATGTTTGAAGTACAAACCAGGGTAAGCAACAAGCAGGCAGGTTGGAATTGGAGCACCAAGCAGGAGCATGGTTGGGGTGTAGGCTAAGGTTGGAACTGGGTAGTCAATAGAAGAACAGCAAAAGCAGCAATCGAGAACATCAGAAAGAAGGCCGACGTCAATGACAGGAAAGCAGAATCCAAAGCAGGTCTCAATGCAATCTGATTTGGTTACAGAGGAGCAAGAATGTAGGTTAGGTTTGCAAGTCACAGGAAAGTAACTGAAGATCATCCATTAACTTCTATCAGCAGAGCTGGGCCTTGGGGCATGCACTAAAACAGGCATGCATCAAACGGTGACCATGTGCCAGAACACATGCATGTTCTTGGCTAAGAGCTTGTGCACATCAGCCAGGAGGACCATTCTGACAGGAAGAGATGAGAAAGAAAGGGGAGAAAGAGATATGAAGAAAGGGTTGAGAGGGGAGAAAGTGATCTAGAAAGGTAGAAAGAGAAAGAAGAAAGGCAAAGAAATGAAACTGAGAATTAGAGAAAAGGAGGTAAAAGAGAAATATAGTGGGAGAGAGAAAAATCAAATAGTATAAGTAAAGAGGCGAGTTCTATTTAATTCACACTAAAGCTAAAAAGGTGCAAGGAGATTTAAAGTTAACCCAAAGGCAGAAAAACGTAATAGGGAATCAGTGGTATGATGCAGCAGGTCCCTTTATGTCCCTACAATCACATCATAGCACTCTGAAATTAAATTCATGACCAACTCCCGTGATCAGGAGCCTGACCCCCCCCCCTTGCCTTACTGTTAACCAGAGGGGCGGCCCATCATAGTAATCGGTTTATCAAATCCTTACAGATTCCCTTTAAATTTGCAATGACGGCACAATGAGACCATGTATTCACAAGATTCAGAGCAATTGAGCTAAAAAGGGGCAAATTAAAACAATAACATTCACATGGAATCCGGAGGAATCAGCAGTATATTGTACAGCCATTATTAAACCAATATACAGTTAGAGTCATGCTTGCCATTCTTGGAAATAATCATTTGAACAGGAATCTGTTCTCTGTTTTTTTTTTTAAGGGTTTGACTGGAGTTTGCACTTTAAATGGGAACAACTCTCCATGGAGCAAAAATCTAAAAGATCGGACCCTACAGAGCCAATAAAGTGAGTCAGATATGTGTGTGATGTTATAAACGACTTATAACCAAAAACAGAGATTTTTCTTTTTCTTCCCCCCCCCCAAAGCCGAATTCCAGGTGAATATAAAGAAACACAAATTAGTGCAGTTCTTAATGTTCATTAAAGAACTCCAGTATTTTCACCCCAGCACTGCAAGGGTTAACTGCTCATTTTGGTCTAGGGAACGGAATAAAGAAGATATACTCACCTGATCCTCGGTGCTGCGGCAGTCAGCGCTCACGACTCTCCCCCTTCACTCTGGCCGTTGTAAGTCCTTCAGTGTCTTCACGCATACTAGACCTGTTAGACGTGATGATGTCATGGGTCCTTAGACTGCCAGTGCCCGGGGGTGAAGGGGTTGAGGGGACCAGTGGGATAGGGGATTGGGTGAGTATATCTACGTTATTTGCAACCCTAGACCAAAACGAGCAGTTAACCCTTGCAGTGCGGGGGTAGCCCCACTGCAAGGGTTAGCTTTTGAAAATCCTGGAGTTCCTCTTTAAGATTAGTTAAGAAATTAGTAAATATATTTTCAAATACTGCAAATAATGGAAGAGTCTGTTCTGACATCTGCCTTCTGCAATCTCCTCTACAGTAGCGGTAAGGAACCCAGCAGACTCTGCTGCTTCCACATGTACTGACAGAAAGAGAGAAGCAAGGGCTGGTCTCCTCAGTGTGCTGTTGCTCTTTCCCTGTCCAATAACAGGCTGGGGGCGGAGAGTTGACTAAACTCTGTTGCGCAACTGAAAGTGAGGTCAACTAACAGGCTGGGTTGCGGAGCTGTGTATATTTCAGGGCTGGCTGAACATAATAGCTAATCCTTTAGCAAGTAACAGCTGGCATAGATGTATTTAAACTGCCAGGAGTTCAGCTTTAGAGAACGTACAGCAAGAGTCATTACATGGCAAAATAACCATAAGGCAAAAAAAAAACACGGATAGGTTTTAAAGAAACAAACTGGGGAAATCAGACTGGGGTGTGGTTTGGAATGTCTCAGTTTTATTCCTAGCGGAATGTTCTTTCTGATGTGAATGACTGATGTAACTTCTTGTCCCCATATCACAGGACTCCTGTCATAGCTGGAGGACTATTCCTAATCGACAAATCCTGGTTTAACCACTTGGGGAAATATGACACGGCCATGGATATATGGGGAGGAGAGAATTTTGGTAAGAAACGGGTAGAATCTAATCTATCTAAACTTCTATCCAGTTACGTCTTATGGAAAGGAATAAAGAGAGTTATTCTGTGAAAGCATAATGACAATTAAAGAGAACATTTAATAATTATAACTGCCTGCTTGTATGTATGCAGTGCAGCCACCTCCAGTTATCTACATGCAACCTTATTTAACTAAAAAGGGGACTTGTTACTCTAAAGGAGAATCACTCTTCAAATCTGAAACCTTAACCATCAATCTAACCTAAATTCTACCATTAAGCTAACCTTAAAACTAACTCTAATCCTAAACCCCAAATATAAACTTTGCGCTCATCCTAAACCCCAACCATCAAGCTAAGGCTAAACCTACCCCTCTTCTTTAACCTCAATGATCAGCCTAACCCTAAACCTAACCTTTATCCTAAACCCCAGCCATCAAACTTACCCTTGCCCTTAACCCCAACTATTAACCTAACACTCATGCTAAACCCCAACCTTCAATCTAACCCACATCCTGTACCCAACCATCAAACTAACCATCAACCTAAACCCCAACCCTTAATCTATTCCTCATCCTTAACCCTGACCATCAACCTAACCCTCGTGCTAAGCCCCAGCCTTCAGCTTAACTTTCATCCTTAATCCAAAATATCAAACTAACCCTCATTCTAAACCCCAATCTTCAACCTAACCCTCAGCCTTAGCCTCATCTAGCAACCTAACCCCCATCCTAAACATTAACCATCAACTTAACCCTCATGCTAGATCCCAGCCTTCATGGTTACTCTTTCTTAATCCCAAACATGAACCTAGCCCTCATCCTAAACCCCAGCCATCAAAATAACCCTAAATCCATGGTTACCCTTAAAGTATATTAAAATATAAAACGTATTTTTTTTAAATGCGGAAGTGTTAGACTATCTGTGAAGTTTTTATTGCTGTTTTTCCCCCTGATGAGTGGATTAACCCCTCTGTTTGTCCTGCTAACTATTGTCTACAGATCACAATATGAGAGGCAATCCCAAATTTTAGAGTTGTCACTAGAGCAAGTGGCGAGGGTAAATTATCCAATGTGGGCAAATGTTCCCAGGAGTCTCCGATGGGAAATCCTCTCACTATCAGGAGATTTTCTATGATTTCCTGTTGCATCTCCAAGACAGGAAGTGAAGGGAAACCTCCCCAGTTTCACACAGACAGCAAAAAAATAACCTGAAAGGAGTTTTATTCCTCGCCTACGCTATTAAAGACTAAAAAACAAAACAAAAAAGTCTGGACTATATATTAACCTGGCCCCTCACTTAACCCATAACCCGGAGTTGGGCTTTAAAATAAACCAAATGGACTATCCAGCAGCTACAGTGTTTCCTTTGTTGCATTGTCAGTTCATGGCAAATAAAACCTAGGGGTGTGATATGCGATTATTGGATTGAAGCACACTCTCCTACAAAAGCAAATAGCTTTTTAAAGTGATATTAAAATCAAGCGATGTTTAAGCTATTTCATACATTCATTAGCTTCCTGCAGAATCAGCTGGCCCCCTGAGCACCAAACTCCTGTTTTTGGGTGGCTCCTTTCCCTAACAGGGTCCTATGGACCAGCTGTTTTGTGTGCTAGTAAGGTGGGTGTGTCTCCACAAACACACAGGCACTGCAAGTCAAGATAGTCCCTTCTGCCTCTCCTTCCTTTTAGCCTTCCAAGCTAGTATGTGGACAGCTGCTGGAGTCTGCTCTGTCCTTTGTGATCTTGTACTGCAGTGCACAAGAAGATCAGGGAAGCTGAGTTGAGAGAGTTGGAGCCAGCTGTTTGGAAACATGATGACTGTAAGTGCAGGAAACACAGATCCACAGAATGGATGAAGTAGAAGCAGGGAGATCCTTTCACTGCTGCTCCCCAGGGGCAGCTTCCCCTCCAGCAAGGAGAACAATGAGCAGCACAGTGGAAGGACAGCATAGCCTTAGATAATCTCACACCGCAGAGATAGAGCTATAAGGATGCAGAACAGAAGAGACAAGGCACAGTAAGTACACTGCTATATTTCAAGAGGAATTCAAGACAAAGGTTAAATTGCATAGGCACAATTAACATCTACTGATGTTCCCTACAAGACAGCGGATCCACTTTAAGGCCTCATTCACACGAGAAAAGGCCGGCACATACAGCTCCGTGCTGCGTGCACGGCCGTATCGGGCAGCTCCCGGGAAGGACAGGTGCTCTGTGTGATTAGTACGCAGTCCCTGTCCTTCTCTATGGGCATACACGGCCGTACGCCACACCTACGCTCACCTAAAGTGCAGGTCCGTATGGGTGCGGGTGTCCCGGCTCGGACGCAGACAGGATGCATCGGACATGCAGGGCTGGTGGGCAGAGTACGGCCACATATTCCCATAGGGAAAGACAGGGGCTGCGTACTAATCACACGCAGCACCTGTCCTTCCCGGGAGCTGCCCGATACAGCCGTGCACGCAGCACGGAGCTGTACGTGCCGGCCCTTTCTCGTGTGAATGAGGCTTAAGGAGTTACTCCTCCTCATCCTCTGTTGTTTGCTAGCATGCGCCATGCTGGTATTTGTAGTGCGAGTGGAAAGCTACATTATTTTTCAGAAATCTATTTTGGGAAGGGAAAGGCTTTCAGGTACGATGAAACTTAGTAACTGTAACTACCGTTCTACTTTGCAGAGCAAATTGCAGTTTAACAAGAGTAATCATAGACTGAAGCCTGTAAATATGCAGACATAATATAAAGTTATTCAAAGCTCTCGTAAAAAATGAATTATTAAATATTCATGCCCCGTCTCCTGAAAGCTCATTAAACAGATTGCTATTTACCAAGAGGTACGCGGGAATTTTACAAGTATAGAAAATACATAAATCATGCTGTTGACTTTATGAAAAAGGTAAATCAATTCAAATGACTTCTTATTTTTGGCGCACGTTAATCAATACGCCTCCTTGGGGCAATCCTGAAATGGTACGCTAATCTCGCTGCGAAAGAAAATGCTATTGACGCCGATAAAATACAGCTAAAAAGCCAGTTATGATCATATTTTTTCAGCATCATCGTTATTAAGAAGAGGAATATGTTTCAGTTGCTAATAATTTGACAACTTTAGTTCCATGTGATGGGTAACACGGTTATTGTCGGGGGAATGTAGGGGACTATTGGCTCAATTTGGTGGGTTTGGGCTTCAGAAATGGAGGAACATTGTCAGATGAGCTTAGCAGATATTCAGGACACAGCAGAAGGATCTGGTATTTTAGGAACCCTACAGAGGAAAAAAATCAGGGATCAGTATCAGCAGGCTAAGATTGGAGATTCAATTGACAAAACTTGTATACGAAGCAAGCAGAGGGGTGCAGTTTCAGGATCAGTGCAGACAAAGAGGGCAAACGGTGCCCCCACCAGATGCTGGAGGACTTTAAAAGAGGCACAGGCTCTTTGAATACCTCTGATGGTGAGGATAGGTTTGGCCATAGGCCATAGGACTCTTTTGCTCACCACTGCTTTCCCACATTACAGTGTGCTGCATGTGCCAAGCAGAGGCTTGATCTGACCCAAGTGGATAGAGGAAGTCTGCCCAGCTGAGGTGAAGTCAGGCTAATATTATTTTCTAAGGACAGACCCCATCTTTAGCTTGGCACATGTTTAAGATGTTCGGCTCGGTTATTCGGCAGCTTTGTGAAGAACCCTGTAGGAATTATGGGGTCCCGTACAGCCTACCTGGCAGGGCCCCTCCCTCCCTGTTAACAGACACGTGCATGCTCTACGTGCAAAATCAGATGGCGGGGGCAGCAAGGTTCGTTTTAATTTTTTGTATTATTATTTTTAACTTTTTTTTTTTCACGTAAATGTTGCTATCACAAAGGGACTAACACACCCCTATGTGACAGCATTTAGAGGTTACCGGTTCTCTTTATGGAGACATCTGGGGTCTATTAGACCTCTGATGTCTCCCCCACCCCCCAATACATAAGATCAAGCACCGTATTGTTTACCTGACACTTCATCTTGGTTTGTGACAGCTCTGAAGCAGGATTCCTTTGTCTACTCCCGCTCTCCATCCTGACAACACTTGTGACCAGTGAGCATGGAGCCGGCCAATCGGGAAGCCGAGCAGCGTGTCATTACACGCCCCCCGGCTTTCTGATTGGCCACAAAGCCCGCTTCATGCTCCCTCGTCACCTGGTGATTGAGCATGGACCCGGCTTCCCGGCCAATCAGGAAGCCAGGCGCCATGTAATGACGCGTTGCCAGGTTTCCTGATCGACCAGATTCCCGGCCAATCAGGAAGCCGGGTAACGCGTCATTACACCTCGCTCAGTTTCCTGATTGGCCAGAAGCCGGCTCCATGCTTCCTCGTCGACTGGTGACGAGGGAGCATGGAGATGGCTTCCCTGCTGATCGGGAAGCCGGGTGTCGTGTTTTCTGGTATCGGCAAGTACGGAAAAAAAATATCGGTACTCGATACCGTTACCAGTGCATCCCTACCGAAAACCATGGTGAGGAGTTGCGGGTGGGGGGGGCATGATTGCAGGCTAGTACAAGTCAGCTACCCAGCACACTTGAAGTTGACAATCTGCACAGGCATCGCAGGGAGTTCTTGTTGGGTGAAGCAGTGTGGGCAGCTCCTGCTGGGCCCCCCCTGCCGTCTTTATAGTGGCCCAGTATGGGATGCCTGGCAGTACCCCCCTATTGGTGGTCCTGTATAATTGTAGAGAAAGAAAGCAACTTCCACTGCCCTCCGCGAGGTTCCTTCAGAAATGCTCGGTGTGTTCAGCAGCCGATTTGCGCATGCCATTGTTTTCCAGCAGACCTTGAAGACGTAATGAGATGGAGATGAGGCGAGAATTCAATAGCCACCGCCCATATCTGTATGAGAGAAGTGACGATACAAATGGAATTAGTGGAAAATAGAAGCGTGGCTCGTGGTGTCAGGATGAGAGGCCTTGCATGACTGAGCCAGAACAAGACAGGAGTTTAGGCGCTGACACATTCCATTATAGGAGAGCGC